ATTGCATTAAACCATGAACTCACTGAGTTTATTAGTTGATTAATCGCATACATTTGTGGTGTAGGAGTATCCGGAGTAGTAGACTGCAACGGGAAAAAGGCTAGGTCACCTAGATTTATTTTTAGTAGTTGTATGTATGTTGCATGAAACCATTATTTATAGAGTAACATTTTCAATATGTTTATATATCGTGTATGAAATCATGAATTCACTAAGCTTATTAGCTGATTAATTACATAAATCTCAGGAGCAAGGGTATTTTGAATAGACATGGCAAGGGAAAAATTTAGGGCAGCTAGACTTTATTTCTTTGCATTTACTTCTCGGTTATTTTGATATGTAATATCTTAGTTGGGTATGAGACGAACAAGTGGTGGTAAACGTTAATTTTCATTTTGAAGATTTTGATGTGACTAGTTATTTTAGTTTTGGGAGATTTATTTAACTTTGTGATGTTTTTTTTTTTATTGAATATAGAGTTTTATGCTGAGTTGGTTACTCTAACATTAATCGACGTTGAAGTATTGAAGAACTGATGAAGATATCAATATAAAGCCTAGCACCTAATCAACATACATCAGTTGTTCCTAACCAATTGATGAAGCCATTAAGAAACGCCATTCCATCAGTTGAAGTCTGAAGACGATAATCACTGACTATTTATGAACAGATAAACTTTGTCTTTTCTACAAGATAAGAAGGACGAGACATACATTTTCATATGAATCTTAAAAGGTACATACAAGTCCAAAAGTTGACCTGGTAAAGACAACAAACATGTTTAGTATTTGATGCAACGTAGTTTGCATTAGATGCAACTTAGTTTGCATTAAATGCAACATACATGCATTAAATGAATAGCGGATGGCCTTAACTCAACGAAGAAGACGTGCAACAACAATGTGATAAAGAAGGTAAATAAAATCTGGAAAGAACGATCTTCTAAGGTAAAGCCAATTTACATGGTTGTGTATCTCACAAGGTTTTTCAAGTATAAAGCCTGTTGAAGCCCTTAAGGACTAGCACACATACAAGATATTATCAAGAGGATGATCTGCAAGTTTGTAATTTGATCGAAGTTCATCAATTTTCCGCTCTAAGTCTACGACTACTGCATTACTTGGGTAGAATTTGATTTTAGGTTGAGTGAGGACATTTTGTTGATTAATCTTGGAAAAATCACTTGTCAATGGAAAGAAGTTGTTATAAGCATCTAATCACTTGTTGATTATATGTTTATATCCCCATGAAACTTTTTATTTTCGAAGTGTTGGAACCATTACTAGCAATACAACGAAGAAAGGGTATATCCTTTATTGACGTATGACGTCAAGAGAATTCAGATTGTTCACATTGATGACGTGGATGCAACGAGTTGTACATGCGTTGCTTTGATTTATAAAAGACATAAAAGGAATGCTGTTCATTTTGATAAAATTTCGAGACACCCATCCTACCCCGTTCCGTATAGCTATATATGGTTATTTTCTGCTATGTATATGATTGTTGTATTCCATCAATTATTGATCATATATTAATAATTTTACAATCATTGCATTAGATTGTGGGCTAGGTTGTAGTGAGAAAAGAAGTTATGGTAAGAAGCGTAAGAAGATATCTTCACTCGTGGATCAATGTTAATTGAATGTCAACATTAATGAGGTACATCGAGATGTACCAGATCAATTTTATTCTAAAACACAATTCATGGGTGAACATAAGATTAAAAGTGATCAAAAGTTCATATCTCTTATCACGCTTATCATCATAACTTTCTTTCATACGCAATCCTCCACCATAGATTATGTCATGTAAATGATCAATGGAAAAACAAAATAGATGGATAAATGTTTATAGTTGAATTATTCGTGAACATTGATGCTATTTTTTTTTTAATTAAAATGAATAAAATTATTTGATATTTTGTCTGGAATACAATAATTTTTTTATTTTAATAGAATTGGGACCAATTATTTGAGAAAGGAAAAGTTAAAAAAAAACCAATCAATTTTTTTTGAATGATTAAGTATTTAAATTATTTTTTTAAATGCTAAAATCATTAAACTTTTTTTATTTTGAATCATTAAGTCATTAAACTTTTTTTGATAAATAAATCATTGAACTTTAAAATTTGATTACCTATATCACTACAATCCAAAAAATTACCCGAACGGTTTTAAAGTAAAAAACCTAAAGTAGTTTTAGCATTACCAAACTTTAAGGGGGGCTATTCGGTTGATTTTTTATTAAGTCATGTATGAATAAAGTTGTCTATATTGATATAGTTGTTTGTATGGATGTAACTAAATAGGTATTCGGTTGTTGTGCTGAATAAACAATCTGAATGGTATAAATGACTATTTTATCCTTTAATTTGTATTAACAATCTTTGTAGATAAAATTTACAGTAAACAACAATATTCACAGTAAATTCTAAAGAAAGTAGTAGATAAAAAAATCAAATATAATCAAGAAACTCATATCAAGAATAACAAACAAATCAAATATAATAAGTTGTTGTATCAAATCAAATCGAAATAGGAAAAACCCAAATCGATGAACCCTAAATAGAACAACCCTAGAGAGGTCAGAACCATATTTAGAAGGAGGTAAATTATAAAGCATTTGAATCTCTCCTTCATAGAAATCGAGGGTTTGAGAGATCTATGAGATGGGATTTCTTCAAGAAGGGTCAGAACCATCTTCTTTGAGGGATTTTTCTTCAGATCTAAGCAACGAGTTTGAGAGATAAACAACACCCGTAGAAATCAAGAGCTCAATGATCGAAGAAGCAAAGGTGCGTGAGCCTGGAGAAATCTGTAAACCACAACTACAAATCGTAAACAACAGCTACATATCGAAAACCATAGGAGAAATAAGAGCGCAGAGGTTGAAGAAGATGAGCGCCATGAAGCTTGAATGGAAGCTCGGAAGGTGAACTGATGCTGGAACTTAGAACGTGTAAAATAGGTTTTTTTTTTTTTTTTTTTTTTTTTTTTTTTTTTTTATGGAAGGGGTAGTTGGGGACTTAATGGGAAATTAAATGGTTGAGTCTAAAGGAGTATCATTTACGAGCTGAGTAATTAAGTCATTTGCTTACCAAATAAGCTACAACGGAACATGTATTTATGGCTGGGCGAATAAGTCATATAGGCTATATAGCCCATTAAGCACAACCGAACATGTATTTATGGCTGAGCGAATAAGTCATATAGGCTATATAGCCCATTAAGCACAACCGAACAACCCTTAAGTCATTCAAACCCCTTATTGCCTCATTGTTGTCCACTCTCTATCACCCATTACCGCCTTTGGCATGCGCCATCGATCTCCCTTCTTTTGCTTGTTTTTTTATCTTCTTCATTTCCTTTTATGTCTATACATGCTCGATTAAATTGTTGTAAAATAGGGAGAATAAAAAAAATAAATAAAGAAGAGGGATATTGCTGACAGGGGTCAACGACTGTGGCAGGTTGTATTGAGAACAGACAAAGATGGAGCAACGATAAGTGGCAAGGGAAGAGATACCGTTGTGTGTGAAAGGTTTGAATGATAATAAATTTGGAAATGATAAAATTTATTTAATTTTGTTTTACTTTACAACATTCATAGTCGATTATATAAAACCATTTTTTATTCAAAAAATGCATGTAACTAATCTTTAAAATAAAGATATTTAGAAAGCTAATTATTTAAAACAAAATTTTAATAGTTTTTTATTAAAACAATAATTAAAAAAACTTAATCATTTAAAATAAAAAAAAGGTTAAATGCATGAAATAACAACATACTTTCACAAAATTTCTTATTATAACATTCTACTTTTGTTTTTCTTTATTATAGCAATGTACTTTCAAATTATTTTTTATTAAGGCATTGTACTTTAAAAAATCTACCCATAATAGCAATGGGTAACTTGTTACCTTTTAAACCGGTTAACCCTTTGACTTTTTTGCTTGTGTGACTTTAATGAGGTGATGTGGATGACACGTCATTTTAATGACTTAACTAAAATTAAAATAATTTTTTTTTTCATTGCTATTATCTAAAAAAACATTTAATTTTTTTACTTTTTCTTATTAAGTTGCATTTAAATTAAATATTCTTAGAGTAAAATATTTATTAAATAAATATGCACTATTATTTTCGAGATATATTTTATTTGTAAAAAAGACAACTTTTCCTATTTTATGTTGTTCAAATAAATACATATATTTTAAAATTCTCTTTAAAATATTAACGAAATAAATTGTTATCTACAATTTTTAATATTAAAAATCTAATTAATTTAATATATTTATACGTCAAGTAAAAACTTTTTAAACAAATATAATATATTCGTCAAGTAAAGATAATATTTTGTGGTAAAAAAAGAAYAATTCTTATTTTCCTTTTTTCAAAAAACATATATTTATTTAAAAATATTAACGAGATAAGTTGTGTTCTACTAGTTTTGTTGATATTAATATATTAATAAATAATTTAGAATTTTTTTAATTCATTTAATACATTTATTAAAAAATATATAAAATATAATATTAAAATTAAAAATACAGTGTTTAATAAGAACTAGTAGATGCTATAATAAAATAATTTTGAAAGTACAATGATGTAGTAAGAAAGTCACATCACTATAGTACATGTGGACAACCTACGTGGACAATGAGGTGGCTTGAAAACCTAGTATAATGAGTAAATTTAAATCAAAAGGTTACCCAATGCTATAATGGGTAAATTTTTCAAAGTACAATGTCCTAATAAAAAATAATTTGAAAGTATATTGTTGTAATAAGAAAAACTGAAAGTACAATACTATAATAAAGAAATTTATGAAAGTAAATTGCTATTTTATACATTTTGCCCTAAAAAAATTTATTACTCATTTTGAAATTGAAAGCTTATTTCGGGTAAAACTTGTTCAAACTTCAAAGCCCAAAATGCAATAAGCCCATTCGAAAGCCCTAAATCCATTGTTCTTCGTCTTCCCCGACTGATTCTTCCCGTCTGATCACACAGGGCCAGGAGGGACACAGAGATCGTAAAAAGGGAAAAATGGCTCAAATTCCCAATTTACAGAACGGACCTATCAATTTCACTCCTTTAAGGTCAGATACCTAAGCATGACTCAGTTTATCTGCTTCATTTAGGTGTAAATGTGTGTATCCTTTTCGTGACAGTCGTTTTTCTTTTGATATTTTTTTGAATTACAGAGATCAGTCTCAGAAGGAGCTCTTAACAATTTTAAAGAATGTAAGATTGATTTCACAGACTGGAATTCTACTCAGTTCGTTCGTTATTATACGAATTTGATCTAATTTAATAAATTAAATAAGTAACTGAAAGAATGAAATGCAATTAGTTTACTTTTACTTTTGATGAATATGTATAGATTCGAGGGAAAAAGTGTTTGGTCATCGATCCCAAGCTGGGCGGTTCTCTGTCATTGATCGTTCAAACTTCGCTTCTCAAGGCAAGTCAATTCTAATTTCTGATATTGTATGCAACTTTTGGTATGTTTTTTAGATTTTAGAGTAAATAGATTTCTTAGGTTTGAACAAAAGCAGGTACAGAGTTCTTTAATGGTTGATTAACATTTGATATCTACATAGAACTTGACAGTGTACGTGTGTAGAAACTAGAAAGCTATTGTTAATTGTTAAATTTATACTATATCCATACCATTTTGAATCTGAAAAGGGGTAGGTTTGACCTCAAAACCAGATTTCTGTGTTTCCCATCCCAGTTTCGGTTTTCAAGGCAAGTATTGGTAGGAAAACCCAAATGTGAAACAAGAACTGGAAGTTGATAAAGGCAAATGACAACTCTCAAGAATACAAGTTTTTAATCCTAAAGGTGCCACGACTTGGGTTATCTATGTGCTAACTGCCAGTACTACATGTTATGCACAAACAGGAACATGGGGCTGAACTGCATCATCTTAATGCGGATCCAATTGAGACTACCTGTTCAAAAGTGGTCTACCTTGTACAAACTCAGCTTCATTTGATGAAATTTATTTCTTCGCATATTCACAATGACACCTCAAAAGGGCTTCAAAGAGAGTATTTTGTCTATTTTGTTCCTCGTCGTGCTGTTGCATGTGAGAAAGTAAGCTATTTTAGAACCTGATATAATAGTTTTAACCTGGCATGTGGTTGCATAATCATCTAATTAATATCTATAAACGCCATTCACTCTGCAGCTTCTTGAGGATGAGAAAGTTCATAATCTGCTAACTATCGGGGAGTTTCCGTTGTATGTTCTTCCACTCGATGAGGATGTTTTATCGTTTGAACTCGATTTATCTTATAAAGTACGTATCTGTTACATTATTTAGATGTTAACTCATGCCTTCAGTTCAGAGTATTTACTTGTTCATTCTCTATTTTAGTTAATTCTGTGTGATTGGTTTTCATCCTAATTGGTTTTCATCCTAACAGGAATGTCTTACTGATGGTGATACAACATCTCTTTGGCATATTGCGAAAGCCATCCACAAGCTTGAGGTTCAGTTGGTTTATTACTTATTATTCTCTATATATATCAATGTTATGAAATTTTTGATATATATGCATTTTGCAGTTCTCTTTCGGCCTAATACCAAATGTTAGGGCAAAAGGAAAAGCATCTGTACGTGTTGCTGACATGCTTAACCGTATGCAAGCTGAAGAGCCTGTCAACTCAACTGATGTAATTTGGCATTATATCAATATATATGAAGTGACACATGAGAAAAAATTACTTTCTATTTATAGTAGTAATCATAAGTTGATGTTATATTTGTAAAATAGCAACTATTCTCACTCTTCTTTCTGAAACTGCAGATGGGTGTCCCTGAGATAAATACCCTTATCATTTTGGACCGAGAGGTACTTAATACGATTTTTGGGATTAGGGTTTCTTCTATACTGACTTTTTTTTCCCTGTAAAATGCAATGCAACTCCTAAATGTACTATGCATGAGTATTCTGATTTATTTTGCAACAGAAAAAGTTAATGATCTCCTTGATAGATCAAAAAACGCATCTGATCCATGAAAAATATTTTCCTCTTTGAAGAGTTTTCCTACTAAGATGGTCAATGATTGTTCCAATTATAAGCCCTTCTTAGTTGCAAGCTGCTCCGAGTGTTTACAATGTGGACAGTAAGAATTTGTCATATGCTTGATTGGAATTTGGGAAATATGGTAGTTAATTAGGTGTGAGGATTTGTTTGTGTTCATGTTCATGTATATACTCCAAGATTATGCTGAAAATAGTCCAATGAACCAGGTTTATAAAAATTTGGCAACTTTCAGCACTTAAAAACAGAACCCTGTATACAACACCATGATTAAGTGGAAAAAGGTTTTTTTGCTCCTTGGAATTGCTGAAAGGTTCTGTAATATTGAGAACCTGACAACATGAAAAGTATGAGAGGCATGGACCTTTCTATATCTATGTCAATAGATTTTTGTTACAGAAGTACTACTATGATCAATATGAGGGTTATATTTTCATCACATGTAATTATTGATCGATCACCTCAAAACTTAGTTTAGTTTCAGGTCTTCCATTTGGTTATCTTCCTATTTATTTGATAGAATCATCATGACTGCTGTTGGTTCACAGTGGAACAACGTGAAAGTATCTTCTTGCTATCTTACCATCATTTAAGCATCTGTGTTTAAACTTGCATTATTGTTTTTGCATTGCAGTTGGATATGGTTACTCCTATGTGTTCTCAATTGACATATGAAGGGCTTATGGACGAGGTAAAGGCAATATAATGTAGCCCTTATTCAAGTACTCTGCTCACCATATTTTCACATTTTGTGATCTGTGATACTATTTCAAGCTCAAACGGCATTTCTAAGTTACCATCGAATCTTCTTATGCAGGCGTGCATTTGTTTTTCTATCTCCTATAGATTTTCCTCTGTGCCCACCTCACACTCCCAAAGCATAATTTATTTCATACTTCATTTTCCTTTGCCCTTCCCATAACTTCGAGAGAAGGGGTGCCTCTTCACAAAGGGGGTTGCGGTGACCAGGCCCGGGCTAGAATTTTGTTAAAGATGCTTTAATCCAATTCCCTTAAATAAAGATTCCATGTTATCTTCGGTCTACAAACAGACTCAATTAGGGGTGCTTAAGGGTTCGGTTGATCGGGTTGAAGGCATTTGAACAACCCAACCCAATGTTGGCGGTTTGAAAAATTTCAACCCAAACAAAAGTGCAACCCAACCCAACCCAACCGTTCGGGTTGGTCGGGTTGTGTTTAAACAAAGTAAAATCAACATTGGGAACATAAAAATAAAGGAAACTTTCTTTTGAAATACGATCAATCATTTAAGAGAATATACGAGTTCATCAAATATTTAGGTATTACATATAACTTTCCAATAATGTCCTCTTATGAGTTTCATTGCTCGTTGTTGCCGAGTCGTTTTTTGGTAACCTATGTACATATTAAAGAGAAATACAAATAATTTTAGAGAAGCCGTTAAAACTTTTATCGGGTTACTTTGGGCCTAACCCAAAAGATTCGATTTTCCCTAATTTTGTATCGATTATATGACAGGTTACCTCGGGTTGATTCTTTTCGGGTTGGGTTGGCCGGGTTGATCGGTTTTTGAGCACCCCTAGGCTCAATACCTATGATACTGTTAATTACCAGAAATTCTTGGACTTTCTCATTACTTAGATAAAAGGATCATGTGCATGGTGTATTCCAGTGAGAACCATTTGCTCCACTGAGGTGGATAGATTTCATGGTAGTTACGTTTGTTCAGTTTGGAGTTCGTGTTCTAAAGTTTACAGATGTTAACCAATTAATTTTTATCTAATTTTAATCTTATTTGAGTACATCAGTAAATCGCAAATTTGGTCTCTGGAATATAGTTACATCCTCATGTTTAGTCCATTGACCTTATTTTTGCACCCTCAAGGTCCTAGACTTACATTTTTAGATCAATTATGTCCCTGAGGCTAACACTGTTAGTAATCTCTGTTAAGAATGGCAAGTACACATCAGATGGGGTTCTAGTAACTGAATTTTGGTCGTTTTAACTATCTTTATCACATCCTCTTTCTATATTCTTTATTCTTTTATAAATCAAAATACATAAACATATAGACACAATATCAGTGAAACATATCAGGTAAATATCTTTAATCAGTTAATCAATTTGTTCAAAGTTCATGGTTAAATTGCTTCTTATGTATTTATTTCAGCAATAAGCATGTATCATACTCCCATAAATAAAATAAATTTCAAATGGTAATCTGTACAAGTTCTTGCCAATCCTTTAAAGCCATCTCTATCTGCAGTTTTTACACATCAATAATGGTGCTGTGGAGATAGATGCATCAATAATGGGTGCTAACCAACAAGATGGGAAAAAGATGAAGGTTCCTCTTAATTCAACGTATGTTTGCTCTATTCTTATATTGCTGTGTCACATGGCGTACATATTTGATCATGTTTTATTACTTATTTTCAGTATAGCTTTTGATGCTTTTATTCCCGTCACTTGTACTCCTATTTCATTTGATGGTATGTTCATTTATAGCCCTGATACCCCTTTCTTTTTTGTTTTTTTCCCATATGTCTGATTGTCTATTTTTGGCAAGTCTCTTCCCTCCTTTTTGGAAGAGGCTAAATGAGCGAATGACTTCATAACAGGAAGGAAAAATCCATCTATGTGGGACATTACTCTAGTGACTACAGACTGCCAAGAGAATTCAGCTAGGCCAGTCGGAGGACTAGCACTTTTACCCATCTTAGATGATGGGATTTAGCACTTAAATGTGTGTGCCTGAGTGCACTTTGGGGGTGGCATTGGTTCTCAAGATTTTTGTTTTTCCTTTGTTTCTGTTATATTCCAGATGCCACACTTACTTATAACGTTTGTGAGAGATGCTTCATCTCCAAGTTTCTGTATTGTGTTTTCATTTGAGCCTCTTAGAATGATGCCGTTTGATTTTATTTCAGTGACAAGCTGTTCAGGGAGACTCGGGATCTTAACTTTGAAGTTGTTGTTCAGGTTGATCTATGATAACCATGATGTATATGTCTTTGTATGTACATATATTTTTTAAGTGTGCATGTATATACACATTTACTATTTAGATAGAATATCCTTCTGTACTCCAATAATCACTGCCTTAGAGGTCCTCCCTTAGTTGCCATCTGCAGTATGATTGCAGGTTCTACGTCAAAAAGCAACATCCATGAAGCAGGACTACACAGAGATGACAACTACTGTAAGTCGGTAGTTTTTTCTTATGAATGAGCAAGCATCATTATTTGTATTTGATCCATGGTGATTGAAATCTTTGTTTCTGTTAGCAATATTTTTGCTCTTGTAATTTGTTCGTCCTTATATTCTTGAATGGATTGACAAAGGCCAAGTTGTGCGCAAACTACATCTGTATTTAGATTATTAAACGGTCCATCTAATTTCATCCTATGTTGGAAAATTGTTTTATTTTTTAGTGGGGTTAAACACAAAGCTGTTAGATGATTAAATGGTCCTATTTTCTCTTGATAATTTAAATGGTTGATCTCAGAATCAGACAGTCTCTGAATTGAAGGACTTTGTCAAAAAGCTCAACTCATTGCCAGAAATGACTGTATGTGCCTTCTCTGACTCTTTTTTTCCGACCATTGTGGTTCATAAGCAAGTTCTGGACTGTAATGCTGTTTGTTGTTTCTTTAGAGGCACATCAATCTTGCTCAGCACTTATCCACGCTTACTTCAAAACCTTCGTTTCTCGGGCGACTTGACATGGAACACACTATTGTGGAGGCTGAGAGCTATGATATGTAAGCTTAAATAACATCTTATATTAGATGTAGAAAATACAATTAGTGAGCTTTTATCATTATGTCATAAAAAAATGTGCCTTGGATGGAGAAGCATGTCTTGGCTTAGACACTTTTTTATCCCAAAAGTCTTATCTTTCATTTTCTGTTGATTCTTGATCTGAGTCCTAATGTTTTTTTATATTGAATTAGATCTTGAACGATCTTATTTTGACATTTTTTCTTGATATCTGTTTCTGAACTAGAAAGAAAAATATTGGTTTAATGTATGTGGTTTGACCAAGAGCCAAAGCTAAGGTGGAACATGCTGATATTTAAGATTTTATGCTACACAATACTAAACTAACCTTTGTGGTGTGCTGGTTCTTTAATGTAATGGTGGTGGGCGACGTGTTGTATCATGTCCAAACATGACTTCTATGCGAAATCTTTTTTTCAGATGCATTGGGTCAATAATACACAAGATTGACTTTGGTTGCAAGATATTAGTAGTGGTGGAGTCAAAAGATAAATCAAGAATGTTTGTGCAATCCTGAAATCCCTTCTAGGTTAAACGACAAGTTTTAATGGATGATCAGGATGACATATGTATATGTGCTGTTCAGATAACAGGAAGACCCTGTGTTATATGAGTACAAAGATTGTGCCATAAAAAGCAGCCTGTACATAAGATAAGTTCAAGTGTGTTGTGGATTTTTGATCATGATGGATGAATACAGAAAATAAAGTGTAGGAAGCAGCAGCTGGAGAAATTAGGGAAAGTTTTCTAGATGGTCTGGTCATGTTCTATGGAGGACATTAGATCAATTAAAATTAAGAATTACTTGTTTAAGGAGGAGGGTTAAGAAGAAACCCCATAGGAATGGAACAACAATAATCTGGGTAGAAGAAGTATACGCGTGACTTCATTAACTAAAAGATGGCTTGGCCAGGAAAACCTGGAGGATTGCAAATAAAAAATCCAAAATCTTTTAGGTCGGTTCTAAAGCTTACAGGAATTAATTGGGTAGATTGCTTCATTCATTTCGTTACTTTTTATGCTTATTGTCCACTCCTTGTCTATGCATGGGAATATTTTGCAGCCTAGCAAAGTAGTTTCAGATGAAGTCTTAGTTAACTAAAGTTGATTCTTATGAACCCATAATCTAATTGCACTTAATGCTCCAAATTTTTGATGATTAAATTCCTGTTTCGTGGGTAAATTTTTTTAGCTCCATGACCACTAATGTTAGTTGGTTATTCAAATATTGGTTAGCTGGTTATTAACAATGCTGGTTAGTTGGTTGTGTTTTTTTCTTTTTTCTTCTATAAATGTAAAGAGTCTGTACTTGACTTTAGGGCAAGTAATATAGAATTTAACTTTTCATCCTTGAGTTGTGATATGGTATGCTCATCGTCTTTGTCTTCATCTTTTTCTTCGATGATTCGACTGTCCTCTATCTAATCCTCGTCAGATTTTGAAATATTTAGACTTAATTCTTGTTTGATCAAATTTCAGATTCATGATTATAGGTTAGGCGTCACCACTTCATTTTTTGTTTCTTAAAGTATCTTTGTTTCTTTTCGTCTTGAATGCTCTGTAACAATCGACAGAATCATTTCTTATACTTGAAGACACGAAGAGTGTAGTAGTGACTTTGAATTCTCACTCAACATTTCTCACATTGTTTTCTTCACCACCAATTAAAATCCACACCCAAAAACAGAGATTGGTCACTTAAAGATAAGAAAACTTAACAAATGAAATGAAGCAAAAGCTTGAATTAGAGCAGAAAGCATAGGGGCAATAGAGGAACTGAAACATCAACCAGATTCTGTAGATGGAATTATGATATCAGGTCCCAAAATCAAGATGCCAAGAACAATGTCAGGTTCTACTGGCAGGCTAAAACAATTTTGGCTGTCTTCAATTGCCATGCCTTCACAGTGATGAGAGAGGAAGATGTGTGGGTTCAGTAATAAAGTAGATAGCATCTAAGGGTTCGTGTCAAGTTCATATTGTTCTTGTCAAGAAATTAGAGAAAACGATGTAGAGAGAATTTTGGAAGAACCGAGAAATTGAAGGAATCTTATTTTCGAAATTGGGATTATTTTTACAAATGAAGATAACCCAACCTATTTATAGGCAATAGCCAAGTCAAGCAAAGCAGAAAAAAACAAACAAACTATTTCAATTAAAGCCACACCTAACAAATCTCCACCTTGGCTTTAATTTTAGTACAGTAAATTTTTTATTTCCAGCTATCAATATTTAGGAGATCTAAACAATGCCTAAATTTGTTCAAAGAAATGGATTTCGTCAGTGCCTCAGCTGGATTGTCATCGGTCTTCATTTTCTTCACTTTAATTCTCCTTTCCGAATGTATAAAGTGATAACGAACATCTATATGTTTCGTTCTCTCTTGATGCACCTGGTCTTTTGCAAGACAAATAGCACTCAGGCTGTCACAAAAAACTACAGTATGATCTTGATGAAACCCAAGATCTCTAAGCAAACCTTTCAGCCAAATCCCTTCTTTTGCAGCCTCCGTAAGAGCCATATATTCAGCCTCTGTTGTAGACAAAGCAACAGACGGTTGTAACGTTGCTTTCCAACTCACTAAGGCATCTCCAACAGTGAACACATATCCCGTTAATGACCTCTGTGTGTCAAGGTCAGTTGCGTAATCAGAATCTGAAAATCCAGCCACAATACAATCTTCTTCTCCTCCATAAATGAGACCTACATCAACTGTGTCTTTGAGATAACGAAAATACGTTTCACGGCAACTCAATGTTCTTTCCCCGGATAAGCCATGTAGCACGAAACAACACTAACAGCATGAGCTATGTCAGGTCTGGTGCAGATCATGACACACATAAGACTTTCTACAGCACTAGAATAAGGAACTTTGATCATATACTCCACCTCAGCCTCTGTTTGAGGTGCCAAAGCCACTGATAATCTGAAATTTGCCGATGAAGGTGTGCTTACAGCTTTCCAGAAGCCATACCAAATCGAGAAAGTATTTTCAAAATGTAACTTTTCTGGGACAAGAAAAGTTTACGTCTAGATCTATCTCGGATAATCTCCATACCAAGAATCTTTCAAGAATCTTTCGAGTAGCCCCCAGATCTTTCATGTCAAATTCAGAATTAAGGAGTCCTTTTAACTTCTTAATTTCAGCCATATCACTAGCCGCTAATAACATATCGTCCACATAAAGTAGCAGATACACATGTGACCCATCAACACCTTTCTTATGATATATACAACAATCCTAAGGGCTTCTAGTAAAACCATGACAAACCATAAAGCTGTCAAAACATTTATACCACTGTCTCGGAGATTGCTTTAACCCATAAAGCGATTTTTTGAGCTTACAAACATAGTTTTCTTTACCTTGAGCTACAAAACCCTCTGGTTGACTAATATAGATTTCCTCTTCAAGCTCACCATGTAAGAAAGCCGTTTTGACGTCCAATTGTTCCAACTCCAAATTTGCTTGTGCTACTAGTGCCAACAACACCCGAATGGATGTATGACGCACCACCGGCGAGAAAATTTCATTATAATCAACCCCTTGCCTATAACCTCTAGCCACCAAACGGGCCTTGTATCTCACACTTTCAGCTCCTAGCAGCCCTGTTTTCCGCTTAAAGATCCACTTACAGGTCATAACTTTTCTGCCTTGAGATAACTTCACTAATTCCCAAGTTCTATTCTTGTGAAGGGATTCCATCTCTTCACTCATGGCTGTTATCCACATATCAGCCTCCTTCGTTGTGATTGCTTCTTTGTAAGTAGATGGATCAAAGAACTCCATTTCTTCAGCAACTTGCAGAGCATAGGCCACCATGTCATCAAAACCATATCGAATTGGCCTACCAACTTGTCTTTGGGGCTTATCTAATGCTATAGATCGAAATTCTGCAGGTTGGTGCTGATTTTTGGCACAACAAGTTCAGTTTGAGGCGATTTACTGTTTTGTCCAGCAGTATTCTCGCCTTCATCAGGACCACTTAACTCGTACTTCACCTGTTCGGACACACTCTCCTCTTGAACACTTGGAGTAGATGAATACCCCACGCCACGTGACATATCCTCATCAAACACTACACCACGGCTGAGAATCACCTTTCATTTATCAAGAGACTAAATTCTGTAGCCCTTTACTCCAATTCCGTATCTCATAAACAGCCTTTTCTTTGATCTTGGTTCCAAATTTTTTTCACTAACATGGTAGTATAAAGGACAATCAAATATTCGTAAGCCTGTGTAATCAACCGACTTACCGGACCACACCTCAATAGGAATTTTACAATCAATTGCCGTTGCCGGGGATCTATTCACCAAGTAGCAAACCGTGTTTAACGCTTCTGCCCAAAAACTTCTAGTCAACCCTGCATTTGACAACACATCTCACTCTTTTCAACAACGTTTTATTCATCCTTTCGGCTACTCCATTCTACTGTGGAGTGTGCCTAACTGTTCCGTGCTTGCAATCTTTACAAAACTGATCAAACTCACTTGAACAGAACTCCAATCTGTTGTCCGTTCGCAGCCGCTATCTTCTTCCCAACTTGATTTTCAATGAGAACTTTCCAATCTTTAAACTTCTCAAACGACTCACTCTTATGCTTCATGACAAATACCCAAGTCATCCTAGAGTWGTCGTCAATAATTGAGAGGAAGTAACGACCACCACCAAGTGAAGGAACTTGCGAGGGACCCCAACAATCAGCGTGAAGGTAATCTAAAGTTGACTTCGTTGTATGGACAACTTTTGAAAAACTCACTGTCCTTTGTTTTCCAAAGATGCAATGCTCACAAAAGCCTAATTCAGCAACTCTATGACCTCCAAGAAGTTCTTTCTTGCTGAGAGTTACTATGCCTTTCTCACTAACATGCCCTAGCCTCATGTGCCACAGATGTGTCAAAGCTGACTCATTCTCTACAGGATTAAGGGCTGGTGCTACTGATCCAACAACCGTGCTACCTTCAAGCACATACAAGTTACCTCTCTTGACTCCTTTCATCACTACTAATGCACCCTTAGTGACCCGAATTACTCCACCCTCACCGGTGTACTTGAATCCTTTTGAGTCGAACACTCCCTAAGACATTAAATTTTTCTTCAACCCAGGTACATGACGAACATTTGTTAGAGTTCTCACTGTCCCATCATGCATTTTAATGCTCACGGATCCAATTCCAACAACATTGGACGACATGTCATTTCCCATCAAGACATTTCCGGTTGCAATCTTATCATAGGTGTTGAACCAATCCTTATGTGGTGTCTTGTGAAATGAACATGCGGAATCAAGAATCCATACTCTGACTGACTTTTGCAATCAACCACCGAGAGCACTTCCTGAAGCTTTATGGCGCAACTCTCGTGAGTGCAAACTTGAACGATCTTCTTCCATAGTAATTATGTCTCTACCAACAACGAACGAGTTGACAAAAATTTCATATGAAGTGGGCAACGAAACCAGTAAGATGAGGGCGGCATCCTCATCTTCAATCTTGACTTCAACATTCTTCAAATCCATAAGAATGGAGTTTAACTCGTCAAGATGTTCCTTCAAAGGCATTCCCTCATTCATTCTAATGAGAATAACCTTTTCTTTAACAACAACTTGTTCGTTAAGGACTTGGTCATGTAGAGACTCTCTAGTTTCAGCCATAAAGACGCAGCAGTCTCTTCATCGGCAACTTCCTAAATCACCTCATCCGCCAAAGACAACAAGATGGTAGAGTGAGCCTTCTCATCTTGTTGTGCAAACTCAAATTCAGCCATATCTTCAGGAGCCAAGGGAATCCATATGCCTTCTTGTTTTAGGAGAGCTCTTATCTTAATTCTCCATAAGCTGAAGTTGTTATTTCCTGTAAACTTGTCTATCTTGATCATTTGTGGAGGCATTTTCTGAAATCTTGAAAAGAACTATGGTACAAGATTCAAAGCTGATAAATCAAGAACAAGTATCCAAATTAATTTTTAATTGGGTCGGCAATTTTCTAAATTGGCTGTTCAAAATTGGTACTCCAAAGATTGATCCCCACAAAATCGACCATTCAATAAATCAAAACATCAAGTTTGATTGGTGGTCACAAGTCGATACCTCCAATTAAGCACCCAACAACAAAATTGATTGTAGAAGAATCAATTTAGACCGATGAATTTTAGAAATTGATTGTTGTTGCCGATGAAGTTGCCGATTCCTCAAATTGACTGCTGAGAATCTGTCAATTTACACCATCAATTTCCAGAATCGAGAAGCTCTACCTTGAATCGAACACCAAATTGACTCAATTGCTTGCCAGCAAAGAACGATTCCAGAAAAAGGCGACTCAAAGACAAAATCATAATCGATAATAAAGCGAAATCCAAATCGATTAAGGAGGAGACCAATTTTAGCGATTGGAAGGAACCCTAACGCTCTGATACCAATTTGTCAAGAAATTAGAGAAAACAATGTAGAGAGAATTTTGGAAGAACTGAGAAAATGAAGGAATCTTATTTTCGAAATTGGGATTATTTTTACAAATGAGGATAATCCAACCTATTTATAGGTAATAGCCAAGTCAAGCAAGCAGAAAAAAACAAACTAACTATTTCAATTAAAGCCACACCTAATAGTTCTTGTGATCAATTATAGCCAACCTTGGCTAAGGCTTGCACTAGAATAGATTTCCCATCTGATATCGCAAAAGACCATATTCAATTGTAGCCTAGCCTTTTTTGGGTAGGAAATAAAGTGATAATGTCAGCACCTGTCAACTAAATACAGCGGTTTGTTAAATTGAACTATTATATGTTTTAGTAACAATATATAGATTCAGTAATATCTGTTGGCACATGTATTTACTTCTTCTTTGTGTCATTTAAATATTTGGTAGGTTATATTCGTTGATCATTCATATAGTGCTTGACCATCAAAATGTGATATTTTATGTTTACAGATGCTTCGAGTACATTGAAGAGATGATTCATAAGCAGGAGCCTTTTGTTAATGTCCTACGACTTCTTATTTTACTTTCAGTTACCAATGCTGGGTTACCAAAGAGGAACTTTGACTATCTAAGGTAAGGATAACACAGATTATACGAATTCATCTTACTCTTCCTCTTGACTCTTACTATTTTTCACTTTTTCTGGATATTGTCGTATGTGAAGAATTAACTACTTTTCGGCCTCTTGTGTCTCCTGATTTAGGAGAGAGATTCTTCACAGCTATGGTTTCGAGCACATAGCTACTCTTAATAATTTAGAAAAAGCTGGGTTGGTCAAGAAACAGGTTCGTATATGTCTCTCAGCCAGTCTGTCTACCTCTTCTTTCCTGATATTGCAACTGCTTTATAACACTCATGTCCTGTGCAGGAGGGAAAAAGCAACTGGTTGATGATCAAACGTGCTCTTCAGCTTGTAGTTGAGGATACTGACACGACCAAGTAATGTATTCATATCGTCATTACCAGTGTATAATATCATTTCTCCCCAAGCTAGCCAATGTAAAGTTTTCTGTGGCGCTCGCCCAAAAAAAGAACAGAAGAAAATAAATTTTAATTCAAGTCAGTCCCTTAGGATCAAGTGTGCCCCGACTGTGCTGTACCTATGCATTTTATAACAAGACTTGTTCAAGAAAATCCTTCAATTTGAAATGTTGGAAGCTGTTCAACTGAACATGACCCCATGGTTACTTCTAACAGGTTCAAACTCTATCAACAGTAGCCTGCCCAGGAAAATTTGGGTTTTAGGAAAGAAAGTTTAGCATGAGGCAGGTCAATCTCTTTGCACTTAGGAAGAAGTCTTCGTCTTGATTTTTCAATTCCATGGAGGTGGTGGGTCCCCAAATCAAGGAAGACCCTTTTTTCTCAATTATAGAGGGACCTTTCTGTCTGCGCCTCTGATATTCAATAATTAACCCCTTCTGTTGGACTCCATATTTTTTATAATTTGGATCGGCTGCTTATGGAATATGAAGGACGCAACTCTTTGTTGCTGACCCTGTATCCTGGCAACAAAGCTTGTTCAATCTTATTGACTAGAATGCTCACAATCTGTCATACCATTGTCACTTTAATTGCGGCAAATGCATGTTTAGTCACAAACATATCAAATAATGAATTGGGCTGAAAAGTGATTTAGAAACTATGGTAAATTTGTAAGTGAAGATTGTTATTTAGTTTTTGATTATTTAGTTGATGTTCTAGTTCTTCTGCAATTGACTACTAACATTCCTTTTTCTTGGTGGCAGTCCCAAAGACGTTTCGTATGTTTTTTCTGGATATGCACCTCTCAGTATACGCCTGATTCAACATGCAATTCGATCTGGATGGTGAGCTTAATCTCATTTTTTGCCAAGTCCATAAAGGGACGTTTTGCCCTTGATTTACTTCTTTCTTTTTCTTTAAATGGTAGCAAATACATCGTGTAATATGATTGGCTGATTTTTCATCAGTTCATGTAGCAGAAGTTTTTCTGCAAGCTATTCTCCCTTTTCTTGTCTTTTATTTCTTCTTGTTTAAACATTGCAATATATCAACTTGTATTGTATGGTCCTTCAGGCGTCCCCTCGAAGAAATATTGAAGCTTTTGCCTGGCACACATACAGAGTCGAAGAGGGTTAGTAACTTATTTACCACATCTTGCTCTTTTCTCTTTTTATCTATTATTTACCCGTCATTTGTATTTTATTTTTGACGTATTACAATTATTCAACTTGTTGACCATATTGCTACAGAGTGCATTTGCAAAGAGTCCATCATTTGATATACTACCAGGGGGTTTACGCATGGACAAGTATGCTTTCAGTGATATCTCATCCTTAATTATGAAATAAATCACATAAGAAATATCATCCTTATATACACATGTCTGTGCTTTTGTTTTCAAACCTCCTATTCTCCCTTTGTTTCCACTACAACAAGAGATGAACAAATGCTGTTCCTATCTAGGCATTCTGCTGTCGATATACTTTTCCCTGTGCATATGTTATGGGAAAAGACTATTCATGAAAGAAAACTAACATTCTAAATTTTTATCATTACTTCTGTCCGAAGATTGTTTGTGTGTGTGTGTGTGTATAGTGAGAAGAGAGTCCCTTCTTTTACAAACCCAATAATCTGTAAAAACTTGCCAACTATTTTTCATGTGTTGTTTCAAAACGTGTGAAAATGCAATGTTTATGAAGTGTTGTTTCATATGATACGTTCAGGACTATTTTTTCCACACACAAAACAGTCCCATAAAACCTTTGACATATGAAACAACACTGAACAAACAATGCATGTTCACGTGTTGTTTCATATGTGAAACAACACATAAAAAATTGTTTGTAAGTTTATAAAAAATTTGGGTTTGTAAATGATTCTGCGTCTATATATATATATATATATATATATATATTGTGAAAAATCTGTTAGTTGAAAAGCAGTTATATACAAATGGTTTAGGTTTGAATTACATGAATTTCAGAGTTGAAGATGGGAGGCGTGCTCTTGTTTTAGTTGTATTCATTGGAGGGGTAACGTTTGCAGAGATTTCTGCACTCCGCTTCCTCAGCTCTCAGGTAATGTCTACTATTTTCAAGACTCAAATACCTGACGATGAATTGACACAATACAAATGACTGATTATGAATCCCAAAAAATATAAAGAAGGTTCAGTTACCGTTTGATTTGAATGTTTGTTGTAGGAAGGGATGGCATACGATATTATCATAGGTACAACAAAGATCATCAACGGTAATACCTTGATCGAAACCTTCATGGAGAAGTTGGGCTGATAAGCCTTTTCGTGTTTTCTGGATTGTGGTTTTGCATTTGGCTTCTTGTTGTTTATGTGATGGTGGTTTGTTTGTGATTCCCTCTTATCCTGCTACAAGTTTGTAAATTTAGTGCTACTTCATTCCATTAATGTTTGATCCAAAGCATATTTGGCCATCGATTTTTCTCCTTGTGTTGAACTTGGTTAAAGTTCCTCACGTTTTGAGTTCGAATCCTCTGTGATTACTGATTACTGGTTATTGATTACTGAGGTGTGTTAATCAACAAACAAAAAGTATGATCATAGGTTCTCTCTCTTTTATATATATGTATATATATATATATATATATATATATATGTAAGACGATAATCAAATGAGAACTACAAAAAGGTTACAAACTTATGAGAACCGATGTAAAAATATCTTTTTAAATTAGTTTTTTTTATTGAAAGCTTATGATTTAACATATTCTTTCATATATGTTTGTGTAAAATTGCAAGTGAATTTTTTTTTATTCATTTAGTGAAACTAAAAACACATAAAAAAATTTATATGGTGAAACAAATACATGTAAAACTATCACGTTATGAAACAAATATATGTGAAACAATATTTTAAGTCCTAGCATTTGATGGAAAAAAAATCATGAAACGATTTTCTTTTAAATCGGTTCTCATGAGATTTTTAATTTTTTTGAGGTTATCATTTAATTTGTACAAAATCACATATGATTTTACATTAGCATCAAAAAAATGGAAACGGATGACTTTTGAACTTGTATGATTTTGTACGTGAATATATGTGTGTGTGTGTGTGTGTGTATATATATATATATATATATGAATCATTTATGAAACTGTGATCCGATATTTGGTATGTTTGGAATTTACTGTTAACTGTGATCCGATATTTATATACATGATGGAAATTGACACATGTGGTTTAATGATTGATTATTGGGTTAAAGGAACTTGCACAATGAAAGCCATGTGCCTTGTAACTGTGATTCCCCGTTCAAGAGGGATATATATATATATATATATATATATATATATATATATATATATATAGGGTTAGGCTCACGTGAGACCAACCTGTTTTCGTGAGACCATATTTTTACACGTAACTTTCACAGCAAAAACACTGTGAAGGTTTAAAAAAAGTCGAACCTTCACAACAAAAATACTGTGAAGGTTTTAAAAAGTCACCTTCACAACATTTTGCTGTGAAGTTTCAAGTGTAAAATGTTGGTCTCACGGGTCTCACGAAAACAGTCTGGTCTCACATGATCCCAAGTCTATATATATATATATATATATATGAGCGATCAAATGAAAACCACCCTCATTTGTAAAAACCGTACAAACCACCCTCATACATCGATTTCATTGTTTAATCTTATGAAATTTTTTCATGAAATTGTTTAATCTTGTGAAATTGTTTCATATAATACTTTTTTTGATAAATTTGTTTCATATATGATTATGAAATTGTATCATATAATGTTTTATGAAATTTTAATGAAACTGTTTCATGTATTTCTCTAAAATTAAAATAATGAAGATGATAATATCCATGATTAACACCCTCCACAATAAAAATGATTAATCAACCTCTCATAATTACAAAAAAATAAACAAAATGAAAAAATTATGATTAGTTGAATGAGTTTTTCACGGTTTTTACAAATTGAATGATTTTTATTTGAACGCTCCCCTATATATATATATATATATATATAGAGAGAGAGAGAGAGAGAGAGAGAGGGTTCAATTGAAAACCGATTTTCGGTTCAACAGAGGGACAAAGAAGAGCGTCCACATTCAGTATGAATAACGAAGGTGAAGTTCATGAACCATACATGATGAATAATACAGTATTAATGATGAATAATACATGATCATGGTCCATATTAAATTGATTCACTATTCATGATGAATAATACACATTCATCATGAATAAACATTATTCATACGCAGGGGATACATGTCGCGCTCTCCTGTGTTTCCTGGTTCACAACCAAAACTTGGTTTTCAATAGATACATACATGTATGCATATATAGGGTTGGGTTTTAGTGAGAATGAGAGTTAATGTGGAAAGCGTAATAAGGAATCTCCACCTTGGATGCACATTAGGATCAGATGCACCAAGTTGCACCAGAATAATTCTCGTATTAAGCACGATTCATGGATATATTTGAGATTAAATGTGATCAAATGTCCAGATCCTTTCTCACACTTCACACCTTAACTTTTCTTCTCACACGATCCTTCGCCTACAT